CCATTAGATGGGAAATGCGTTACTTGTATGAATCGTAAAATGTCATTATATTATGTCAATAATCAAATATTTGAATAAATTCTTAATTAAAAGATCTTTGTTAGACTTTACCATTTTCTATTTTTTTTAAAATTTTCCTTAACTTTACCAGCACCGATCCTGCAGTAAAATGCTAAATTTTGTTCACATTGTCAAGGTATCAAATCCTCCAAGTGACAAGTTCAAACCCTCTTGTCCGACATTGAATAGCTTGTATAATAGAAGAGACAGGGCTTTTTTTCCTTCTTTTTTTTTTTGTGCTGCGGATTCTACAATAATTTATTTATTACAAATTAAAAAAAATTCAAATAAATTAGCCCCTCTCTAATTCTTGATATAGAAACTTAAAAAAATACAAAATCAATCACATGAGTCTTTTAAAGAGATCATATCAAGTTTGTTTCAATTGATTAATTTATTTAGTTTTTTAAATTTATTTAAATTAATTAATTAACTCTTATAGTAAAGGTATGATAAAATTAATATTAAAATGAGGGTGGGTGTGTACATGGAAAAGGAAGTTAAATTTGGGGGCAATGAAATTAATGAAAGGGCGTAATTGGACGGCTGAAAATTGAGAGAGGGGTTAGGCCATAACCATTTTCTCTCTGGCATTTAATTTAATGCCATCTTCCTTTTCCTCCTCTCACGCCTTATCTTGACTCAACCACTTCCGCAACTGTTTTTCTTTCTCTTCTTCTGCTTTTCTACTAATTAATAAAATAATAATTCTTTCGATTCTATATATAAGTTTTAAATAATCGAACGATATTTTATGAACTAACAGTTAAAATTTATTAAAAATAATAAATAAGTTATAAATATAATTTTTTAAAATTTGTTCTTATTTATTAAGAAAATAAATGGGAGAGTTAATAACTAAAATAATAATAATAAAGAATATATGAGAGTAATATTAGTGATAGAGAGTACTAAATTTAGTCAACTAAGAACAAAATAAAAAAAGAGTAATAAATACTTAGATAAACTAAAAAATAAAGCTTATATTTTAAATCAGACCTCTTTCAAAAATGAAACTTGTACATATGATAAGAGGAAGTATCATGTCCAAAAATAATCATAATAAAATAATAAAATCCTCCTCCAAGTCAAATGCAAACACTCGTTAATTAACGATCATTATGATGTGTCTCTGCCGATCACTAAATATATGCCACTTGTAGACATCATGTTTTGCTGCATTATTGGACGCGCACCCTTGGCTAGTTACTACCATCTAATTCGTGCAATGTTTTTAAGGCATGTTTGGTTGCAACGAGATGGCACATATAACTAACAGAAGTTGAGTCTAACAGAAAGGGTTAATTTCTCATAACGTGATAAACTAATATTTGAATCCCTCCGGTTTGGAAAGAGCTACTTACATTTAGTACTCGACAGTACCTCGAATAGAATTGCCTTCAATAAAAAGATATATGTGTTTATAAAAAAAAAAAAAAGAAGATGACATATATACTCCTCTAATCTTATTTATAAGTCACTTCTAACGTATTTCACATAGACTAAAAAAAATCTTAAACTTCATTAATTCTCATTTAAAATTTAATAACTTTTCAACTTTATACCTATTTAATGTAAATTATACCTCATGTAAATAAAGTCAATAATAAATGAAGGGTAAAAGTATACAACTATACAAAAAAATTTCTTTTAATGCCCTATAAATAGGACCAAAAGATATCTTGTTTATCTTCCCTATAAATAAGACCAGAAAAATATATTAAAAGCTTTTATATTGTCACGCTAACCATGTACATTTCTTATAAATAACTAATTTTAAATTAATTATTCATAATCTCTATAAATTAGTTATACAGTTCTTACCGTTCTATATCCAACATTGAAGAGAGTATATAACATGATGGTGAGTACATCATCCGGGCTTGTTGAAGGCCATTATAGTCCTTTTCTTAACCTTATATTTGTTTTAATCTAAACAGGAAAATAAATCATGTAACGTGGTCAACTAAATGAAATTAGGTAGTAGTCATTATATTGCATTGTATTTCCTTGCCTCTATCTGCTGGCAGGCAATCAAATGGCCCCTAAATTAAATTTTATGTCATCTCATTATCTAAAATACTTATAAAATTCTAAATGTAAGATCCATTTTATAGTTGAAGTGAAATTATAGGGATTGCAAAGTAATTTTTCCAAGTCCTTATAGATTTTTACCTCTTTTTATTAGGTATTTATAATTTCATCACATATATTCGTCATTTGTTGATTTGTAAGAGAAACCGCGTTGATGACGGATAGTGTGACTGTATTTCAACATACACTTGAATCAATTTTAACTACATGGATATAAATAAAATCAAAATCAATTATATTACGCACCACATCAATACAAAGAGACGGTTATGAGCATAATAATCTTTTATTTTTATATTGATAATAAATGCATTTAATTCCATCATTAAAAGAACCTTCTCATTTGGTATTTCTCGTCTACTTACACATTACTCAATCAATATTTACATTAATCACAATTAACAAATAGTTTATAATTGAGAAAATTATAAGAACACAATAAAAAATATAAAAAATACAGGAATTTAAATAAAAATCATGTGAAGTTAATAAGAGCTCCGGAATTAATTTTTTTCAATAAATTAAACCAAATTAAATTAAAAATTCAGTAAATTTCAAAATGGTTTGACACACACACACACACACAAACACTTATTTCCTGTACAAAGATGGGGACGTGGTTTTGGGGTTAGGAAGCAGAAGTCAAAGAGTAATGTGAAATCCGTTGGATGAGTGACAATTAGAGATTAGTCCCCTTTTCCGAAAACCGGCAAAGTCTCATTAATGCCACTAACTAGACATCCACCCAACCCAACCCGTGAGAACAACTAAATTAAGGGATCATTCTGGAATCAGCGCATCTGATTATGACCCTCCCCCTATTTCTGCTTATATCCCTTCGCCCACCCCCTCTCGTTTTTCCTTTTTTTTTGGTAAAGTTGCAGTATCTCTATCATTAAAAAAAAACAATAAATACTACTCCTCCTGTCCTTAATATAGGACCTAAGTCTTGAGTTTATTTTGGTCTTAAATATAAGATTAATTTCTTATATTTATCAATTTTCTCTAAATTACTTCTATAGATGATCCATCAACCATAATCAAGTAGAAGAAGGAGAGGGGGTATTAAAAAAGATGATTATGGTGTTTTAGGAAAAATATGTCACTTTTCTTATAATTAACCAACTTACCTAACTTCTTTAATCTAATCAAATTAATTAAATGGGTCTTATATTAAGAACAGGAAGAGTATAACTTTATTTCATGCTTACGTTTTAATATCCAACTACTCAACTAAAAAATGGATTTAACTGGTAACGAATAATTATAGTATTTAATCCACTATAGAGTGTGAAAAAGTAAACAAATCTAATCTATAATAAAATATACAACCATTCAAAGATCACTAAAATCCCTCCACTTATATATATCATAAAAAAATTTTATGTAGTATTTAATGAGTTATTCCAAAAATACACTTTTGACCACATTCCAATAGATTATGATAGTATTTAATGATAACATTTGTCATAGCCGTTTGATTCAACTGATATTTAGTGCTTTTTTAAATTTTATTTAAGTATATATGAGGTTGTGGGTTCCAAGCCTAATATGTGTGTTAGTTCTTTCCATCAAATAAAAATGACAAAAAAATTAATAATAATACTTGTTGAAATAAAAATGGAAAGTTATTCTAATAAGCTAATTAGAAGCAACTTATAAATATGTAAGACTTCAAGGGAGTAAATTTAGATTCCAGTATTATTAACGCCAATTGTCGTCACTCTTTCAAAAATGATTCCCATGTTTACATGCATTTAATTTCAAAACTTTGTGTAAGTCAGTCATAATTAAAACTAATCATACTTTTTTAACGTAAGACTCCATGTAACATATAAAATACGGGTCTACTGAGTATTCAAATTATTAGATATAGAAATAATATTTCTGATAAACACAGAATTTAAGAAATATTTCTTGACTATTAAAATTTAATTTAATATTGAAGATAGGAAATCAATATAAAATAAAATCCCATGGAATACCAAAAGTTTGCTTATTAATTAGTTTTAAGCGGGTCAAATGTGAGAATTCGCCTGAACAGTTTTTCTCTTAAAAAAAAGAAGAAAAGAGGTAAAGAAAGTAATAAAACCAAGGTCAAAAAAAAAAAGAGAAAGTAATAAAACTTTTTAACAGTTTTAATACTATAATATTTGAATATACAGAGAGAGAAAGGGGGGGATAATAGGAAAAGGAGTGTCCTTTATTGAAGCGGGAATGGTAAGTTGCCAAACGATCACGTACTGCAAAGATTAGAGAAAAAGCAAGAGAGAGAAAAATATTAAAAAGTAAGTTCTGTGTATGAAAAGGTGAAAGTCGTGCGATGCCTTTTGCAGCTGTTGCGTGTTAAAAGCACAATATTGGTTTCAAAGGCAACTCTCTCTCTCTCTCTCTGTCCTTCTGGTCTCTCCTGCGCGTGCTCCTCAATCTCCCTCCTCTCCCTTGCCGTCTTCCCCAGCTTCCTCTGCGCGCGTCGTCCTCCTACTCTTTTTTTTTAAAAAAAAAAAAAATTCATTACAATCTTAAGCAAACAAAAAACAAAACAAAAAACAAGTGAGAGATTAAAAAGGGAGTCAATCCAAAGACCACACACTCTCTCTCCCATCATCATCTTCTTTTCACATCTCTTTCTCTCCCTAAAACCACATGTCTCTCTCCCTCTCTCTTCATTATCTCCAATCTAATCTGTTGAGTCGAGACAAATTCCGCTTTACCTTTTATTCTTTTAAAATAAATTGGTGGACTATATTTTATTATATATAAAAGAATTAAAGAAAACATGACACAAAAAGGAGAGCAGATTGCTCTGCCCAGAGGGCTTTTTCCAGAAATCCTTGCAACTGGTAGTACTTTCATCAATCAATTCTCTGTTCACTAGAAATTCTCTCATCCTCCCTGTCTTTCTTTCTCTTGCCAAGGAAAGAGAGCCCCTTTTTACTTTTTCCCCCCAAAAAAATTTTGTTCTTCTTGCGCCTGTAATTATAATACACCATTAGCTGTGGATTAACCTTTTTCCAATTTTCACCACCCTTCAATTCTCTTTACCCTTTCCCGCGGTGATTTGTCTCGCGATATTTCTACATTTATTCCGACGTAGAGATATAAAGTAGAGAAACGAGAGAGAGAGAGAGAAGCAGTGGGGATGATCTTGTGAAAGAGGGGATCTGAAGTTTCCTTTTCGCTTTGAATTCTCAACTAGTTTTTTGGGGTCACACGCCTGGGCGGAGGGAAAGTAGATCCCATAGGAAAGAAACCTAAAGGAGATAAGCTATTACTTTCGTGATTTTGTTTGTGTTTGTAAAAGCTTCTCCGTGATTTGTTTTGCCAGCCTTGAAAATGCGATTTTGTCTATATTATCGAAATGTTGTTATCTTCTTCTCCCCCCATTAATCTCGTTTTCTGGCTGGTGGGCTTTTTAGCTCAGAAGTGTGAATTTCACACATTCGTAGCTTTTTCCATAAAGTCAAGTACCCCAGAAAGCCAAGCCGAATCCATAAGATTCATTTCCGGGTTCCTTCTTCTTTTCTTCTTCTCTTCTTCTTCTCCTCCTCCTTTTTTAATACCAGACAAACTATTTATCGTCTTCCCACATAAATTTTTCCTCTGATTTCGGTTTTTCCCGACCGGAGACTTTAGATTCTTCACAATTCTGATTGTGAAATGAGAGCCGGTCTTAGCACGATCCAGCAAACCCTAACGCCTGAGGCGGCGAGTGTTCTTAATCATTCGATCGCCGAAGCCGGCCGTCGGAACCATGGCCAGACGACGCCGCTTCATGTGGCGGCAACACTTTTGGCCTCACCGTCTGGCTTCCTTCGCCAGGCCTGTATAAAATCGCATCCCAATTCGTCTCATCCTCTTCAGTGCAGAGCCCTCGAGCTCTGCTTCAGCGTCGCGCTAGAGCGCTTACCGACGGCTCAGAACATGAGTCCCGACATGAAGCCTCCGATTTCCAATGCTTTAATGGCTGCGCTGAAGCGAGCTCAAGCTCACCAACGCCGTGGTTGCCCCGAGCAGCAGCAACAACCTCTTCTTGCCGTGAAAGTTGAACTTGAACAGCTTATCATATCCATACTCGATGACCCCAGCGTCAGTAGAGTCATGAGAGAAGCGAGCTTTTCCAGCCCGGCGGTGAAAGCCACGATTGAACAGTCGCTGAATTCGTCATCGCCGGCGGTCAATTCAAGTCCGATCGGATTGGGATTCCGGCCCACGGCTGTCACACCAGTTCCGACAGGGGCACCAGGTCGGAATTTATATCTAAATCCGAGACTTCAACAGGGGAGTTCCGTCCAATTGGGACAGCAAAGGGGTGAAGAAGTGAAACGGATTATCGATATACTGTTGAAAGCCAAGAAGAGGAATCCAGTGTTAGTTGGAGAATCAGAGCCAGAGGCTGTGATAAGAGAATTATTGAGGAGAATTGAGAGTAAGGAACTGGGCGAGGGACCTTTTTCCAGTGTTCATGTGATTTATTTGGAGAAGGAGCTTCCTTCCGATAGAGCTCAAATCCCTGCAAAGATTAAGGAATTGGGAGATTTAATTGAGACCAGAATGGGGAATTCAAGTACTGGTTCTGTTCTCGTTAATTTGGGTAACCTGAAGTGGCTAGTTGAGCAATCTGTGGATTTCGGAGTTTCTGGTTTGAGCAATATGCAGCAACAGGCACTTACAGAGGCTGGGCGTGCTTCGGTTTCAGAGATGGGTAGATTGGTGACGAAGTTTGGAGAAGGTGCTTCAGGTCGTCTTTGGTTGTTGGGAACTGCTACTTGTGAAACTTACTTGAGGTGTCAGGTTTATCATCCTTCCATGGAAAATGATTGGGATTTGCAGGCTGTGCCTATCACCACTAAAGCCCCTCTTCCGGGCATATTTCCGAGGTATTTCTTCCTTCTTTTCTACCTCAAATAAAGCTTAGATTTCCGAGGTCTTGTGGAACTATGAAGTGTTCTTCATTTAATCTCATCTGACACGTAAATTCTGTTCAGAATTTTAATTCTTGTTGATCAAAAACTTGGTCAATTTGGAGTTTTAGATGTTTAAGGCTTGTTAGTTAGTACTCTAATGATTTATCCACCCTCATGTATTCTGTTTAGGATGTAGAAGGATGAACGACATCTAGCTTGCTTCTCTCTCTATTCATGCTGTTTGAGTGAAAACTGAAGCCTTAGCGTTACAAAAATGGTATTTCTGTGTAATCATTTTTCATTTTCTGATGATTGTAGGATTGGGACCAACGGCATTCTTGGTAGCTCGCTGGAGTCTTTGTCCCCTTTAAAGGGCTTTCCATCAACTGCAATGACACAGCCTAAGCGTGTCTCGGAGAATGTAGATCCCGCTCGTAGGCCAACTTGTTGCCCACAGTGTATGCAAAGCTGCGAGAAAGAAGTGGCAGATACGGTGAAAGAGATTGAGAAATCTGATTCTGAGGTCAAAGCCGAGGCTGCTCGGCCACCACTTCCACAATGGTTGCAGAATGCTAAAACAAGCAATGATCAGACTCAGGTAAATCATCATCAAATGAGCCAATTGTTGCTTCCCTTTATTTGGGCAGGTCTCAGGAGATATAGATGGCTTAACTGTTTATTTTCGATTTGTCTCTAATAGAGTAATAGCCAAGAAGTGGTGAAGAAGAAGGCTCAGGAACTGCAGAAGAAATGGCATGATTCTTGCTTGCAATTACATCCTAAGTTTCATCAGCAACAAAACCTCAGTTCAGATAGAATGACTCCCTCTCCTTTCCCAATTGTGGGTCTGTACAATCCCAACTTGATGGGGCGCCAACTTCAACCCAAATCGCCTCTCAACAAAAATCTGGAAAGCTCTCTGCAGTTGAGCTCAAGTCCAAGGCCGATTCAGCCATTGGAACGGGCAGCCACTCCCCCCAGAAGTCCAGTAACGACAGATCTTGCCCTTGGGCAAACAAAGTCTGCCGATAACACTCCTGAACAAAATCACAAAGAGCAAGCAAAGGATTTCTTGGGCTGCATGTCTTCTGAGTCACAGGACAAGTTCAGTGAATTACAGAGCAAGAAACTACTTGATGCCGACTCCTTCAAGAAGCTCCTCAAAGGTCTCACTGACAAGGTATGTTGGCAGCATGATGCAGCATCTGCTGTGGCCACAACCGTGACCCAATGTAAAACGGGCAATGGGAAAAGGCGCGGTGGTGGCTCAAAGGGTGACATATGGTTACTTTTCATGGGTCCAGACAGAGTAGGGAAGAAGAAGATGGCAGGAGCTCTTTCCGAGCTGGTTTCTGGGTCCAATCCAATAATAATCTCTCTTAAACCACGAGGTGGGGATGATGGAGAATTATCAGATGTCCATCGTCGTGGTAAAACCGCACTTGATCGAATTGCAGACGCCATTCGAAGGAATCCGTTTTCTGTCATCATGCTTGAGGACATTGATGAAGCAGATTTAGTCCTTCGTGGGAGCATAAAACGAGCCATGGAACGAGGTCGCTTCTCTGATTCTTATGGCCGTGAAATTAGTGTGGGCAATGTTTTGTTCATCCTCACCGCAAATTGGTTGCCCGAAAACCTCAAATATCTGTCCACTGGCAATTCACTTGACGAAGAAAAGCTTACAAATCTGGCAAAAGGCAATTGGCAATTACGACTATCATTATCCAAAAGAACATCAAAACGCAGACCCAGTTGGGTTTCTGATGAAGACAGATCCACAAAACCCCGGAAGGAGATAAACGCCGGTTTAGCTTTTGATCTAAATGAGACCGCAGATGCAGAGGAAGACAGGGCAGATGGATCACTCAATTCCAGTGATCTCACAGTAGATCACGAAGAGAACCGAGTCCTTCATCATAGTCTAAGATCACCAACCATAACCCACGACCTGCTGGATGCGGTAGACGATGCCATTGTATTCAAGCCGGTGGATTTCGGCCTGATTCGCCGGAGTTTCTCAGAGACCATCACGAAGAGATTTTCTGTGATCCTCGGGGGTGGGATGTCACTGGAAGTCCAAGAGGAGGCGCTGGGAAAGATCACGGGCGGTGTGTGGTTAGGCCAAACGAGCATAGATGAATGGATAGAGAAAGTTTTGGTTCCGAGCTTTCATCAGCTGAAATCAAGCATGAATGGCGAGGAATCTTTTGTTGTCAGGCTTGAAGATGACGGAGATTCTGATACTCAGAGCTCGGAACATAGGCTGCCGACCAGTGTGAGACTGGTGGGTGCGGAAGGAAAATGAGGCGGGGACAAGAAGGGAATAATGTGTTTTTAGTCTGGGTAGAGATGTAAATAGCCACTTTTGGGGGAGGGGTAAAGTCAAAGACGGTTAGAAGGATAACAGTGAAAGAGAGAAAACCGTTAGGGAAAAATGGGGAACTCGAGGGATGTTCTAGAAAAAGGAGGGAAAAAAAAAGGTGATATATTAAATTGTTAAGTTTTGCGTAAAGTTATTGTAATTTTATAATCATCATAGGTATTTAATTATCAATTAAACGGATAATGATTTTGAATAAGATGACGGGGGGGCATTCCTGTCTTCGCGTTTATTCATTACTTTGAGGATACGCGTATGCCAGCTGCATTGTTATGTTTCCCAATCTTGTGGCTTCATTTTCTTCCCCTCGAGATTAGTCAGTTTAAAGTACCACAATTAGATATGAAAATGAAAGAATTGTTATGAAGTTCTAACTAAAAAAATAAGTATTCCAAAATTTTAATGATAAGAAACCAGCACGTTTTAAAACAGTAAATAACAACTGTTTATTTGTTATTAAAATTTACTAATTTTTTGGGACCTTATTGTAAATCATATCATTTCAACTTAATACTCAATTGTGGCTTGTCAAAAAAATGCAAACAATGGTTGGGAGGGTGTGTGTGTTCTCTGCTCTCTAGTGCTCTCAAGTATATCAAGTTCTTCCCTTCAGCCTCTGGTCCAAAAAAAAAAACAGAGTATATCAAGCTCTATTGTTAATGGAGGATAACCGTCATAATTCATTGAGAAAACAAATACGGAGATACCAATAATAAAAATAACTTGTATGTTCATATTAATAGAGAAAATAAATAGTACTTAATATAAGATTTAAATAATTAATTTGACTAGATTAAGGATGCTAGTTAAATTAATTAATATGATATATTTTTTTTAAAGTACCATAACTATCTTTCTTAATTCTTTTTCTCTTTTCCCTACTTGATTATTATCGACAAACTGTCAATACGATTAATTTGAGAAAAATTAATAAACATATGAAGTAGGTTTTATATACAAGACCCATTAACCTTCAAGTTAGGTCCTATATTAAGGACCGAAAGAGTATTTTGTTCGGCCTAATGTTATATAACCGTGTTAATTTTTTTTTTTGGCTGCTCATTCTATCTCACCCTTGCACTCTCTAAAAATAAAAATATTTTTGAACAAAAATAAATCCATTTCATGCATTTATTTTTAACTAATTTTAATCCGTTTTAATTTTAACTGATTGAGCAAGAAGCAATGATAAGACAGAACGAGGAATTTAGGGGTTTGGTTAGGAGCGGGGGAAAGAGGCCAGGTCAGCAGTGAGAGTATGTTACGTAAAAGAGGGTTTGGCGTGGGAAAGTGAGAAAGAAAGAAATGAATAAAACGGATTTTGATTAGTTTTGCATTGCTGTGTTGCTGTGTGGCCGTGATTCCACGTGCCATGCCATCCCCTTTCCCCTTTTTCTGCCTTTTTCTCTTTCCCATAATCTGTGACACAATATTAAAAAAAAAATTTAGATAAAAATCAAATCATATTTTTCAACGTGTTTTTATAATTTACGAAATAAATATATAGAAAAATTTATCTCATTTTATGAAAAAATATTTTTTAAAAAACACTTTTAAATCTAAAAAGCACTTTCAAGTGTCCACAACTCATACAAAAACTTATGAGATAAGATTGAATTTTTACCCAATTTTAAAACTCTTAATTGTTGCTAGCTCCAACCTTTTTATAAGTTACAAATAGCTGCATTATATAAATAAAAAAATTAGTTAAAATACGTTGAAGAGAATTAAATATGTAAGATTTTTTTAAACATGCTTTTATTTACAGAGAGGAAAAGTGAGCAGAACGAATAAATGAGAATAAAAATTTAAAAAAATATATACCAGAAAAAGATAACAAAAGAGAATAGAGCAGGAGATAGAATAAATAATTAATAAATAAAAAATAAAAAACATGTTAAATAATAGTCAGATGTCTCTAAAATATAGTAGCTTATAAAGAGATTAGGTTAATTTTTTTAAAAAAAAATTTATATAACAACATTATTATACATAGCAATTATTCAGTTATTAAATTTAGAAATGGAGCTGAAATTTAATTAAAAGTGGCTTAGAAAAACAATATATTATGTGCATTGCATGATAATTTTATACTTTGATGGATAGTAGCATATATCCCCTACTTCCCTATTAATTATTTTTTTGGGTACTAGGCATGCCATCTAATTTGTGATTTAATAATAATAATAATATAAACGTGAATCTGTTTTATTCCGTCTCGTACATTCATATCAACTGGATCCATGTGGGACAACTCAACCGGCCAAAAACATTGAATGTTTTTTTTTTTTTCCGGCCTCTTCATGAGCAAGGAAATTAATATCACTAACAGCTGGGTCATGTGACAATGACTCTAATTTCCTCCACATAAAATTGAATATATTACAGATTTTATGGATGAAAAAAAATTATATTTAGATGAATTGTTTTTAAATATAAAAAGTATTTTTTATAAGTCAATAAATGTGCAAATAATAATATGATTTTTTTTTGCCAACAATAATAATATGATAATATGTTTGGAAGAAAGGACAAGTGCGGAACAGGAAAGTGAAGTGACCAAAACCAAGACAAATGCGGATGCTTCCTGTCCACTTTACATTCAATTCATTCACATGCGCACACTACTTTTTTAGGTACCACAAATCTTTTATATAATTGATATTCTTATTAAAGTATTAATTATTATTAAATTTTTGGTAGAAGAATAACACACGAATATTTTACTAACAATATATAACCGTTTTTACCTTAAAAAAAAATCAGACACATATATCACATATGTTGTATTATTATTTAAATGTTTCAATAATAAATATATACAAGTGGATTTTACATTAGTTTTCCCTTATTGATAACCTTGGCAGCTGTTGACTTTTCTTGACCTCTAATTTCTTCAACCTCTTGCACGTGTCCCCATTTATTTATTCTTTTTCTCTATACCTTCATGTGTCCTCATAGTCTAGCCACACAAAAATTTCCATCCATGCTCACAGATATTTCATTCCAGCCACACACACACAAGCATATTCTTCTGGTTCACAAGGCAGACAGAGTTTTTTTTCCCTTAATACAAGCCACCTCATTAAATTTATTATATGATTCTATAATTTTACCCATAATTTATTATTTTGTAGACTGTCATTTTCAATATATATTAAACAGGAATAAAATTAAAGAATTATTAAATTTTGAGACGGAATTCAGGTGATTTAAAATCTTTCTTAATTTCAGTAAAATATGTTCATGAACAATGCTTAATTGACTGATGCTAGAAAAAGGAAAAAATAAATATGTATAGAGCTTATTAGTTTATGGGAGTTTCAAAGTAGTATATGGAAAATACGACCTTGATAAGGAATTGATCATCAATGAGCACGTAATTGTGTAGTACAAGTTAATTAAAGATAACTTAATCTTAGGTTATATAATGTGGTGTCAAGAGAATAACGTTCATCGTTTTCATTTTAGGTACATTGTATATTGTGACTTCTAGGCGAATACACAAATTTTAATCTGCAATTACTTGTACGCGAAACATATTGTAAGATCTAATTATGAAGCAATACAATGCAAGTCACTTTCAACATACTACCTGAGCTAATTAACTAATTTGAGAAAATTAAAGAAATAAGTTAGGTTAATTATATGTAATAAATATGTATTGTCTTTACTAAAATATCCTTGCTAATCAAGTATATTGGTTAGAACTACTATTGTTAGAAGGACTATCTTAGAAAAAAATATATAAATATGATAGATAAAGTCGATTAGGATCTTATATTTAGGACCAAAATAAAAATCAAACAAAATCTAATATTAAGAACTGGAGGTAGTATTTTACATAAACCAAGAAAAATTTTACATTTTATTCATTCTCATTTAAAATTCAACAACTTTCAAATTTTATCTTTATTTAATATCCATTATACCTCATGCAAACAAGGTCAACACAATAATAAATAAAAGGTAAAATTGTACATCCATACCAAAAAATTCTCTCAATACCCTTTGAAAAACCAAAAAGTATCTTTTGTCACTGCCCTATAAATAAGACCAGAGGAGTAATTGTTAGTATTCAACTACATACAAAAATGAATAAATAAACAATGCTTTTCCACACGCACACATATATGAACATAAAATAGTTTTAACATTATTTGATGGAAATTAAAGGTAGGGTGATTAATTAACAAGGAAAGGTTATTGAAATTGGAATAATAATCATTTAATCCGAGTTTCGAAATACGACCGGAGGAGTAATTGTTAGCATTCAACTACACACAAAAATAAATAAATAAATAATGCTTTTCCACATACACACATGTATGAACATAAAATAGTTTTAACATTATTCGATGGAAATTAAAACTAGGGTAATTAATTAACTAACAAGGACAGGTTATTCGAGATTGGAATAATAATCATTCAATCCGACTTTCAGGAAATGTGATGAACGCACGGACTAGTGGACTACACAGTAAAGCTTGCTGACTGCTAATTAATGGTACATTTCATTTTCTGAATAAAAATTCAGTTGATTAATTTTTGTATATGGGACTTGTCCAATTAATTGTGAGTTTCTAATTTCTATGGCTAAATAGAGCATTGTGCCCGGATAAATTAAATGGGGTGGATCCCATATCATAATTCATTACTCCGTATCCTGTTCGTATCATTTATTACATGTCGTGCCTCATGTGTGGGTTTGTGTGTCACAAACACTGGCTCACGATCTAGGGAAAAAAATGAAAACATAAATAGACTCATTTTAAAAAATGGTCAAAGTTTGAACAAAAAAGAAAAAAGAAAAATTACAATAAAGTCTCATAAAAAAAATAATTATTAAAAAGTCTTAATAATAATCTCAACAATTTATAATAACAAGTCTTATAGTGAGAATGATAACTTTTAAGATTTGTTTTTTAATTATTTTTTTAATTTGAGACTTCGTTAAAATTCTCAAAAAAAAAAAAGGTCAAGTAAATTTTATATTCATAAACTATTTGCCCCCAAATCCTACGTGTCGGTAAGTAAAAAAATTGGGGTAAGGTACGAATTTTCTCACAAAATTTAAAATCATAATAATGTTGTTTCATATTGTTTTAAAAAAATAACATTGACTATTAAAATAGTAACATTAAATATTATCATTTTAATGGTAAGAGACAATATTACTATAATTTTAAATCTTTGAAGGA